TCCTAATCTCCAGCTCTGGCTGGAGCCAGCAGAACTGGCTCTCTCCTGTGCCCCCATGTCCTGCAGAAACGGTGCCGGCTGCTGCAATGCCTGAGCTCCCAAGGCCGCAGGTCCTGAGGGCAGGGCAGAACAGGCAGCGGGCTGGGCATTTGGTCTACTCTCTGTGTCCCGGCCAGAGCCTCCTGTGGGCTGGAGTCCTCTGCAGGAGCGATAGCAGAGGCTGCCCACATCCATGCAGCACGTTCCTCCACCAGCTGGGCTGCTGGTGGGGCTGGGAGCCGTCGGCAGGGCTGCAGCCGGGCTGTCTCACGCCTTCCTGTGCCTCGCAGGTGAATCAGGGGAACATGCCGGGCATCCAGAGCACCTTCCTTGCCATGGACACAGAGGAGGGTGTGGAGGTGGTGTGGAATGAGCTGCTCTTCACTGACAAGAAGGCCTTTAAAGCACACGAGGTGAGCCATCCCTCCCTGGCGGGGACTGCGCCTGCCTCCCCTGAGACCGCCCGCTACACCTTCCTGGGCGGCAGCGCCGGTTCCTGCTGTTCACGGGCAGCAGCACACCTTGGTCGGCAGTGCTAATCACAGCCTGTCATGCTGTGCTTCTGTCTTCATGGTGTCGTGCTTTCCCTTGGCTTCTCTTTCAGAGACAGCTCCATGTGTCCTCCGTACCCCAAAACCAGCTTTTCCTGTGACTGGGGGCAAAGCCTGCTCCCCAGCCCAAGGTTTCCTTGCTCTCAGAGGTGTCCTGCCATGTCCCAGGACCTGCCATCTCACCTGTCCTCTCTCTGCCCACAGGAGAAGATCAAGACCATGTTTGAGCAGCTGGTGCTTGTGGATCACCCCAACATCGTAAAGCTTCACAAATACTGGCTGGATGTGAAAGACTCCAAGGCACGGGTAGGGAGGACTCTGGGAGACAAAGTGTCTGGGGGGTACCTGGGCTGGGGGAGGGATGCTAGTGAAAGCCAGGCGGGTATCCCAGCTCTGCTCCTCACCCTGCTCCCCGAGACTGCCCTTCCTTCCCTGGGGCATGTCTGCCGGCAGCCTGCTCTTACCCATGTGTGGGGCTGGCACAGGCTGCGTGCCGCTGGCTGCTGTGGCCCATGGGCTGTGCACGGCACGGGCTGTGCAGGGAGGCTGAGAACACCTCTCTCCCCTTCCAGGTCATCTTCATCACAGAGTACGTGTCCTCAGGGAGCCTGAAACAGTTCCTGAAGAAAACGAAGAAAAACCACAAGGCCATGAACGCCAGGGTAGGTGCCCTGGGAGCACACACAGGGTGTCCCAGGTGAAATGGGTAGCTCTATGCCCACTGGCACAGAGAGGGTCTCTAGTCTCTTACAACACACAGCAAATACGTATGGTTGCTCCCTGAGTTACCCAGGGACTCTCTGCTGTAGGGGGATGGCTTCTTAGTGAAGGCCAGAGCAAGAGCAGAACTTCCCTGGGACAGCCCAGAAACTGATCCTGCTGCTAGGGTCTGACCCTGAGGGTGGGGAACTTGCTGGAAGCTGCTGCGGTGAGGTTCAGCTGCATGATGCTGACTGCTGCTGGGGCTGCGTTGTGCTTTGGGGGGCCTGCGTCTCCACCACCCTCAACGAGGGATGGTGTGCTTGTGGCTAGGTTACTTCTTGGGTTGAAGGACCAGTTTCACCTGCAAACCCACTCATTCTGGGTCTGATTAATGGTTTTGTGGACAGGTCTCAGCTGGTTGTGACTGAGGATCTGTGTGACCTTTCTGGAGGCCCTGTGCTTGGCCTTGCAAGTGCTGCCATGAAGTCTGAGCTCAGTATCACATTTTCCTGGAATTGGGACTCACTGTTGGTGTGTACAGAGGAAACCACATACACGGACCCCGCAACCATAGCTAGCTTAGCTTTGCCTCCTCTGTGACGTGTCTGTCCATGCTCCCACCAGGGTGTTGGGGCTCAGGGGAGCTCTGTCTGCCGGTAAAGATGAGTTCTTAGCTTTGATGGTGTTCTTTGAACAGGGGCTGGAAAGGAGACTGTTGTCACTGGCACAGTGTGTGGCTCATCTTTGAGTAGCAGTCTCTGCAGGGCTAGTGGTGGGCAGATTTCCCCAGTCACTGTGTAATAGGTAGGAATGACCCAATCTGGCTGCTGGGCTCTGATGGGTGTCTTATCTGACAGAGAGCTCTGGTCTCTGCTCTAGGCCTGGAAGCGCTGGTGCACTCAGATCCTGTCTGCTCTCAGGTAAGCTTGCCGTTGCTTGCACTGTCGGCTGCCCTGCTTCTCACTGGGCTGGGCGCCGGGAATGTGCTCAAGGCAGCTTTGTGCCTCCCCAGCTTCCTGCACTCCTGCGAGCCTCCCATCATCCACGGCAACCTCACCAGCGACACCATCTTCATCCAGCACAACGGTCTCATAAAGATTGGTTCAGGTAGGGTGCTGCCGCCCTCGCGGGCCCGTGGCTTCAAGTGCTGTTGAGAATAGTCAGCAGGAGGAAGCTGCCCGCTGAGGGGAGCGGGGGGTTGTACAGGGTGGTGTGCCGAGGGGGTTCCGGCTGGGCAGAATGGGCGAGAGCTGCAGAGTCCCTCAGGGCACCTCCCGTGCATCACCGGCGCAAGGCTTAGAGTTACCTTCTCTTCTGTTTGTGTGCTCTGCTCCATGCCTTCTTACTCCTCCACTTCCGGATCGGCGCTGACCGGCAGTCTGGCACAGGGTGTTTGCAAATGGTGAGTGTCCCTCTGCCACCTCTCCCAGAGCATCAGTCCTGTTCCTGGGTCGACCGTCCTCCCCTGTGGGCCCTGGGCGCCTCTCCCAGTGAGGCACTGCGGCACAGCAGAGCAGGCCTGGGCTCTGCAGGCACGGGGGACCTTTGTCCATCGGGGAATCGCGGCTCCTACTGTGGGAGCAGAGGGGTCTCCTGGGGGAGCAAGTGCCCCGCGGGTGGTCTGCATGGGCGGGAGTGCACACAGGAATCCCTGCTGCCCCGGAGCACCCGTCCGTGCTCGCAGCCGCGGGGAAAGAGCTTAGCAGAGTTGTGATGCAGAACATTTCTCGTTCCCCAACGCAGCCCTCCCGGATGACCTGCGAAGCCCCATCAGGGTTGAGAGGGAAGAGCTACGCAACTTACATTTCTTTCCCCCGGAGTATGGCCGTGAGTGTGGGGTCTGTCTGCCAGGGCGTGCAGGCAGCGGGGGTGCCCACAGGGACATGGAAAGGGCTCCTGCGTGAGGTGTGGGCACAGTATGTTAGCAGCAGTGCAGAATTACTCAGTGCATTCGAACCTAAAGCTGGTGGCCATGAGTCACAGAAGATCTTGTGATAATGAATGACTGTGTAATAACATTGCAGGTAAAATTTAGCGTTGATTAGTGCAGAGCTATGCACGTGGGAAAAAGCTGTGCCTACATGGGAATGGACTGTGCATTAGCAATTACTGGTTAGGAACAAAATCTCTGCGTGACCACAGATAGCTCTGAAAAGGTCAGCTCATGGCTCAGGAACACTCAAAAGCATGTAAAATGTCACAATTTATGGAAAAAGGAGTAAAGAATCTTTGTGCCATGTGAAAACTCATGATGTTATCCACATCATGACTATTTTGGGGCAAATTTGAGGGGAATAAATGGGAAGGGTTTGTGCAAGGAACTGTGAGAAAATGTGTGTTTGGGTAGGGGAAGCAGGCATGAGCAGAGGCATGGGCAGAGGGAAGGCAGGGTGAGGGCAGGCGTGTGCAGGCAGAGGCATCTATAGGGATGAGGCAGGGTGAGGGGGCTGTGCCCAGAGTGAGCGGGTGGTGACCTGTACCTCTGGCCTAATGTGGTTCTGGCTTGGTTTTGCAGAAAAGGCTGACGGGACTGCTGTGGACATCTTCTCCTTCGGGATGTGTGCACTGGAGGTACGGAGCAGGATGGCTGCAGCATCTGGGAACCTGTGATGACCCCTGGTTACAGGGCAGGATTGTTCTTGCTGAGCCTGCTGGGGATCATGGTGGCCTGGGGAGCTTCCCAAGGAGACTCCTTCCCCTTTTCCACCTTTTCCAAACCTCAGTGTGAGCTGGGGATTCCTTGCAGCGATGGAGACATCTCTGGGGTCAGCAGAACATTGTCTGCTGCCATGGCCCACTCTGCCCTGGGTGCAGCAGCAGGCTTAGCTCACCTCTTCTATGCTTGGATAGTGCCTCTCGGCCATCTCTGCTGGTGCCTCCTCTTCATCCTGGGAAGGGAGGGCACAGAGGGCAGGGACAGACCATGCTGCTTCAGGAGGATGTGCACCGCCAAGCACAGCATGCCCAGGCAGACTATGGGGCTGTTGGTGCTGTCTGTATTGTCCCCCAGTTTGCGCAGTGCCCAGGGAGCAAATTCCCATGTCTGCACTGCTGTGGACCTGTGAGCAGCCTGGAATGCTGCAGTAGGGAAGAAAAGGGCCCTGAGTGCAGGGATACAGCAGCCAGGGAGCACTGAGGAGCCCAGGAGATCTGGAGCTTGGCTGGGCTGTGCGTCCTGATGAGAAGGTCCACAGCTGCCACCCTGCCAGGGGACGTCCCTTTGGGAAGCCCTCAAGCACTGACTCAGGGCTTGGCCACATGCAGACATGGCTGCACTCCTTCTTCCCCAGATGGCAGTGCTGGAGATCCAGACTAATGGGGACACGCGGGTCTCGGAGGAGGCAATCATGCGGGCACGACATTCTGTGGACGATCCGAACATGCGGGTGAGTGCAGCTGGCCAAGCCTTGAGGACAGAGCCATGAGGCTGTAGCCTGACCCACAGATGGGTCAGGCATCCCTCCTGGGGTGTAATCTGCCCATGAGTGTCCTTCCCCTTGGCTGATATCTGGAACCTCAGAGCCAGCCTGGCCTTCCTGCGTGCTCCAGGTTACACCAGAGCTGGGAAAGGGGAGCAGAGACACTGACCTACTGGAAACCTAAGGGCAGCCAAATCTGGTGGGCTGAAGGACATGGGGACTCCCCACCTCCTGGGCTGGTCTTGATGAGAGGCTGATCCTCAACAGTTTCCCAGTCCTACCTGTAGTAAGGCTGAGTGCGAATTCCCAATAGATGCACGTGTGGATGCATGTGCACACACACACGCTCTCTACAGACATGGCCAACTGCAAACAGTTCAGCACAGGCAGGGGAGTGCCGCGTTGACGGGCAAACAGTATGATCCTGCTTCCAAGTATTGATGCTCAGGGCAATCCCTTTCACAGGTCGCTGTGGCATCTGGCTCCGTCCCACGGGTCTCCCTGTTACCAATCAGATCGATAGTCTGTCTGGTATCTATGCCTCCTCTCCAAGCTTTCCTCTCACTTACCAGCTAGTCCAGCTTGACTATTTGCTAGAGGACCACACACGCTCACAGGGAACAGAGAGCAAACTTACACTGTAAATACTCAGGAGTAGAGTTTAATAAGAAGACATGACAGACTGAGGTGATCAGATGCAGGGCTCAAACAGACAGACGTACTGGCCAGTGCTTACAGGCAGCTGGTCCCTTTTATCCCCCTCCATTTCCTCCCTGACTCACCTCAACCCCTCCCTTCCTCTTCCTTTGGCCAATCTCCAAAACATCCCATAATAAGTTTGTACACTCCCCAAATTCTCTTGTTTGATCTCAGAATTCCTCCAGGCATCCCATAGTAAATTCTACCCCCTTTGATGCAATAGTCCCCTTGTTTGCACAGGAGAGTTTCTTCCGTTGAGCCTTCAGCACCAGGGGCAAACAGCATCGATGTTCACCTCTGATAGTCTTTGGGGCAGCTGATTCGGAGGTTGTGTGAGTGCCCACCCTGTCATCTTTCTGAGCATTTTTTGGTCTTTGAGTCTATTTTGAATAGCCCTAGCTACAGAAACTGCACAGAGCGGTTAAGAGAGGACAGGCCCCAGACTGGAGCACGCAGCAGAGGCAGAGGATCTTGCTTTTCTGCCATCAATGAGCAGAAACGGGCAGATGCATCCCTCCCATCCTGCCGCTATCAGGAATCCTTCCCACTGGCGCAGTCTGCCCTTTCTTCAGTCCTACCACCATCTTTTCTGGTGGGTTGTTGCTCCAAAAGCTGATCCTGGCTGGCTGCCGGGATACGCCCCTGCCTGTTAGCCTTACGGCCCTTTGCTGGGCTTTCATTGCATCCTCCCCTCTGGACGAGAGCAAGCAGGGAGCAGAGGTCCTGTGGCCAGGCTGTTGGTGGGTACCCAGCGGCATGCTGCCTGCCCAGAGCACTGCTGCCTCCTCAGCCTGGGTGCTTTGTACCTGCCTGCCCTGCCCTGGGGCTGCCTCCTGGCAGAAACAGCCACTCAGATCTGCTTCCCGGGAAGAGCAAGTGTGAGAGGGAGCCAGGGCTGGCAGCAGTGGGGATAAAGCAGGGTAATGTCCTGCTTTGCATCCAGTTTATGCCTTTTCTTTGACCCTCAGGAGTTCATTCTGTCATGCTTGACCCTCAACCCAGACAAGCGACCAACAGCTAATAACCTGCTCTTCCACCGGGTGCTCTTTGAGGTCCACTCCCTCAAGCTGCTGGCAGCACACTGCTTCATCAACAACCAGTGTGAGTAACCATGAGACCACCCTGCCCTGTTTGAGCTTGTATTGCTGCCCCAGCAGAGCTGGGGATGTGGAGGAGCCTGGGGAGAAAGGCAGTGACTCACAGACCTTCCCTGGGGACTGTGCTGCAGAGTCCGTGTTACGGGACCTCCCAGCTGACAGCTCCTTTCTACCTTTGCCCTAGATCTGATGCCAGAGAATGTGGTGGAGGAGAAGATAAAGGAACTGGACCTGAACATGGTGATGGCAGAGATACGGAGAGAGGGTCGTCCTGGAGCACAGTGGAGGTGAGGATTAGTGGGGAAGATTTCATAGCTGTGAGCTCAGGACATGCATCCACGCTGGTGATCCTGGTGTCATGGCATAGTAGTCCTTCACACTGCTCTGCTACCCTGCATCTCTCAGTCGTCTTCCTGTCCTGCTTCTCTCCCAGGTACTCGGAGGTCTCCTTCCTTGAACTCGACAAATTCTTAGAAGACGTCAGGTGGGTTGAAGGTGGTGCTGGCTGACCTGTAATGTGTCTGCCCAGCTCTGGTTTCCAGCATCTCTCTGCCCTCAGCTCCCTGGGCAGCATGGAGCCTGGTCAGGGGACTGTGCTGCAGCACACGTAGAGCGTTCCATTCGCACAGCAGTACTTGGTCGTCTGTCATCCCCTCTGCAGTTCCCCCTGGGGCAAGCACACCTGGGCTGCAGCGCCAGGGCGAGGGGGGCTCTGTGGCCTGCCCCCTCCTCACTGCGCTGCTTGCCTGCCAGCACTGCCGCTCTGTGGGTGCGGATCCCTGGTCTGCGCCATGGCCTTCCACAGCTGACCTTTGCCAGGGCTGTAAGAGGACAGGGCTCAGCTGTTTGTCCTCCCTCTGTGTCTGTACCAGGAATGGGATTTATCCCCTGATGAACTTCGCTGTTTCCAGACCCCATGCCCTTCCACGTGCACTCTCCCAGCCCCAGGAGGACCCTCAGAAAGCCAAGACTCCCACCCCAGAGCCCTTTGATGTGGAGACCAGGAAGGTAAGGTCAGATCCAGGTGGGGACAGATTCTCCACTGGGAGTAGGTGGATGGTCTCTGCCTCTCCCTTTAGCCGTGCACTGAACTCCAGCCCAGGTGAGAGCTGTTCTCATCATTGCATTGGCTGCCCCAGGACTGCAGCAGTCCCTTTGGCTGGAGCTAGTGAGGTTCATTTCACCTGAGACCTTCTGGAGCAGCCCCATTGCCTCCGATTCTTTGGCTCTGCCTTCCCTCGTCATGCGTCCACAGGCAGCTCTGTGGCATGGCATATTCTGTGCCTTGTCGCTGGGGTGTGGGTTTGAAATCCCATCGTGGTTTGATACTGACACTGCAGTGGCGTGCTGAGATGCCAGCTGAGATCAGGCCCTGTTCTTTCTGGCACTGTACAGGTGAGATTGCATGCCCCGACACTGAAGTCACGGGCAGGAAGGTCATCGCAAGTGGGTTTATGGACCCCCGAGGGGAGTGGAAGGAGTGCCAGGTAGGGAGGGCAGGGAAGGACCAACGCAAGGCAAGGGTGTTTGAGTGGAAGTGAAGCCTTCCAAACCCTCGCTGAACAGAGCAGTTCAACACTGCAGCACAACCCCTTCATGGCAGGCTGCCATCACATCCCCCAAAGCCTTACCTTCTCCAGGCTGAACAAGCCCTGTTCCCTCAGCCTCTTCTCAAAGGGCAAGTGCTCCAGCCTAGGTTCATTCTGACGGCACTCCATTGCTCCAGTTTATCAATGTCTGTCTTGTTTTAGGGGCCCAAAATTAGATGCAGTACCTGGATGTAATTTAACAAGTGCTGAGTAGAGGGGAATAATTATTTCCCTCAATATCCTGGCTGTGCCCCAGGATGCCGTTGGCCTTCCTTGCTGCCAGGGCACGTTGCAGCTCATGTCCTGCCTGCTGCACACCATGACCCCAGAGTCTTTCCAGCAGAGCCAGTAAAGCTTTCCTGCCAGCCAGGCAGCCTCAGCCTATGTCCTTGCCAGGGATTATTCCTTCCCAGGGGCAGGACTTGGCATTTGTCCTTTGCTGACGTGCATATGGGGAGACCATAGCTGAGGCACAGCACTTCTTTCAATGGCTTCTGTTTCTCCTGAACTGCCAGCCATTTTTGAGAGCAGTCAGAGGAACTCATGGGGCTGTGTGCATCGCTTTTTCTTAAAAACCCTTTTTCTACCTGGTATTTCCTTGTAATGACACTTTTAGTCATTCATCATGAATCACCTGTGGCACTGTCTTTGTGTTACCATGGATGATATGAATGCAATTTCATGCTTGCATCAAATTCTTAAAAATACTGTGTAGGGCTAAACCCAGTTCTTATTCCTGTAAGATCCTGTGAAAAGCCTCCCTTCAAAAAGTGCAGCAACAGTGGTTTCTTCATATCTGTCTGAGAATCAGCTTTAAGTGCACTTAACTTATGCTTTATTCATACTGCTCAGCACTTATTTTTCGTAAGAGTGCTGTGGTGATTAATCGGATACGCTAGAGAAATGTAAATGTTATGTCTTTTCCCCTCTGCATTTGTTACATGCTGCTTTTTCACCTAGTGCCCCAAGGAAAGTTCTGCAGGTGCATCATGTGTCTCACCAATGTGTTCAACAACTGTTTTTTACCCAACTTGACAAAGGACTAGTAATCTCAGAAGCACTGAGTTTCTATAAATTTCTTGAAAACTTGCAGCTGGACAAACCTGCAAGTCCCAAATCAGTGTAGCTACGATGCAGACTCTGTCTATTCTGGGAGGCATCAGAATATGGATGCTGGATGGATCCAAGGAAATTTTTTTCATGGTGAGGATGGTTAAACAGTGGACCAGGGGCCAAAAGAGGTTCTGGGATGTCCTTCAAGGTTTTCAAAACCCAGCTGGGCAGATCTCTAAAAAGCCTGTTCTGCATTTACCATTTGTCTTGTTTTGAGCAGGGGCTTGGACTAGAGGCCTCCTGATGTCCCTTCTCACCCAAATGATTCTTTGATCAGAGGCATCAGGTAGAGAGAGGTGGGGAGCAGGTGGCAATGATGCTCTCAAACGTCATAAGCCTTCTCTTTGGTGATGTCTGCAAGATGCTGTGCAGTTCAGTGTAGTTCAGTATATAAAGGAGCACATGGCCAGACAGAGCATAAGGAAAGAGCATCCACTTTGGGCATACAGTCACACTGGTCAGCTCTTCTTGGAGAAATGGATGGCCTGGAGATGATAAAGGTCAGACAGCGAGTTTCCTGAGAGAGCTAAATGCCCAGGGTTGTTTGTCATAGGGAGGAGCTGTGGTAGAGGGGTGCTGGGTCAGAGGAAGGAACAAGCATATAACTAACCTCTGAGCATAAGCTTGAAATTGAGGAATATAAATGAAAACCTGTTAAACTCTGTCTGAACAGGGATGTTAATTCCTTACTGGGTTCCTGTCTTGGGCTGACCAATTGCATGCTCTCTCTGGCTTTCCTTTGCCCACACAACATGACTTCTGGTGTGAGCCATTTTCATGGAAACTTGAAGCTCACCCAGCTTGAAGCTGACCCAGTTCCTTCACAGGAATTTGAAGCTGATGTATTAATAAAATGCCATATTTAGCTAACACATTTGAATGTTCTGCAATGCAGTGTGGGGTTTCCAAAAGAAAATCCATATGTCATTTTAATAATAGTCAGGATTTCAGTTTTTCTCTTTTGTCTGATTTAAAGATTGGTCATCCCATAGGGACATGAACAAGTACAAGTTTAAAACGTAACAAAGAGTTTGGGCAGAACTTTAGGGGAAAGCCTGCCCCTGGCAAATGGAGCAGAAGAATTTATCCTGGTTATAAAGTTTTCCCAGAACTGTACCTTGCACAGGGCTCCCTTACCCACCTCCCAATCAGCTGAAGATGGCCACGGTTTGTAGCTGAATACTGGACTAAATTAACCCTCATCTGCTCCACTTGGACAATTCCTAGAAATGTGGGTAGAATGGGAAGGTCAGGCTGGCAGCTGGAATTCAGGGGTTTAAGTAAGAATTTGAGAGTCACGCTTGGAGATCAGAAGTATAGCAGGCTTGGAGGAGCTAGAGGGACTGTGTCCAACCTGATGTTGATTTTGGCCTTTTCTAGGTGGTGCAAATGCAATGTAACATGGAATTGAACGAAGACAAGACCCAGTGGCACGTAAGTATTCAGCTCCTGTTCTACATGAGGCACTGGGGCAAGACCTGCTGTCTGTACTCCAGCATTTGACTGGGAAAAAGTTTGGTCTCGGCTAGTTTGCTGCAGTACCCCAAGTATTTACCCTTGTCCCTTTGTAATAAAAGAAGCCTGAAGAAGAATAAAGCTACCAGTCCCCTCTGGCTGCAGGACAGGAAGACCTTGACATCTTTGTCTGGACATCTTTTAACTCTACTCCTTTCTAGTTTAACAGTTGCAGGTTAGCTGTAACTGTTAAGAGACCATTCCTCTAAGACATTCAAACTACTCTACCAAAGACATCCAGCATCTCAGCAGTTACCAACATCCTCCCTGCTCACCACTGCCAGCAGTTTCTAGTGCTGATGGAAGAGTCAGCACCTTTCCCTCTTATGGAGAAACTGGTGTTTGTAAAGAGCACTCTCTTCTTTCTGCAGCTTACTCTTCTGCTGATCCTGGAGGACAAATTGCATCGACAGTTGAGCTACGACTTGCTGCCCAGTAGGTTTACTTGCAAGTAAATTTTTGTGCGTGAACGCAGAAGTATTGCCTGGTGGCCCTGGTCAGGTTTAGGCTCAGATTGAGTTAGACACAGACTGTGTTTACAAGCCAGCTTTTCTTTCCTTCTTGTACTGGGAGAACAGGCTAAACCGTAATATCTGTGTGGTACCAGCTGTTGTCCACTCAGACCCTGAGCTTATAGCCTCTGGCATGTGGTAGTAACCTGCAATCTAAAGTGAATGTTGGGAGTCCAGTGAGTGGCCATCAAGAACATGCATTTCATCCCTGAACGTGTGGTGTGCAATTCTTGAGGTAACACTAGTGAATTCTTCCCTCATTCCCAACAGTGGTGCAGTCTCTGCAATGATACCTTTCAAAGGAGAAGGTGGACTCTCCTCTGAGGGAGCCCCATTGCTCTGGGGAAGGATGCTTCTCCTCCAAGTAGGTCTGGCCCAGCAGGCTTCTTCCTAAAACATGCAGGAGCCTTCTGGAGGCCATGCATCTGGAGTCCCTTGACTGCCTTACACCCAAAACTATAGCATGAGGCTTGGAAATTAGTGCTTGGGAGTTGCTGCGTCACCAGCTCCTGTGTTTTTCTGCCTACAGGTAGTGGCCTGCCTGCTTTTTATGTTGAGCCAAAACAAGCAAAAAAATTTCAAAGCGGCACATTACCAAGACTATTGTGCTTTGTGCGATTTGGGACCGGACTCATTCCTGCCCAGTACCTTCTTCAACACCCATTCATTGACCACCTCTGTGCTCTGTTTGCCCCAGGATTACTTAGCAATTACTTAGCCAACCAAAAGTATACAGCATGTGCCCTGAAAGCATAATGAAGCATAATGCAGGTGTGCTGTGGGTTGAGATAGGGGCACTGGTAGAGGAGGAACTAAGAGATGTATGAACTTTCATGTTCTCACCTTTCCTTGCCTCTGCAGCTGATAACTCCAAGGACTTGGCCACAGAACTGGTGCATTATGGATTCATCCATGAGGTAAGCCTCCTGCCACTCCTCATCTCAGTTGTACATGCACCATGCTACCAAGTTCAGTCCCCCAAATCCGTGTGACACCGCATGCCTCAGAGGAGTAAGAGCTCCTCCATTCCCCATTTAGCAGCCAGAGAGTGGTCCCAGAGGCCAGCCTGCAGCACTATGCTGTGCTCACTCCCCCTGCAGTGAGTAACAATGCATCCTTTTTTTGGTGTGATTTTTTTTTTCCTCCATACTTTGCTCATGACTAACCCCAGGCTTCTATTTTGAGGCAACAGTCATACTGTGATCATAAAAACATAGAATGATTGGGGTTGGAAGGAACCTTAAAGATCATCTAGTTCCAAACCCCTTGCCATGGGCAGGGACACCTTCCACTAGACCAGGTTGCTCAAAGCCCCATCCAGCTTGGCCTTGAACACTTCCAGGGGTGAGGCATCCAAAACTGCTTTCAGCAACCTGTTCCAATGCGTCACTACCCTCATAGTGAAGAATTTCTTCCTTATGTCTAATCTAAATCTACTCTCTTTCGGTTTAAAGCCATTACCCCTTGTCCTACCACTACATGCTCTTGTAAAAGTCCCTCTCCAGCTTTCTTGTAGGCCCCTTCAGCTACTGGAAGGCTGCTATAAGGTCCCACCAGAGCCTTCTCTTCTCCAGGCTGAACAAGCCCAACTCTCTCAGCCTGTCTTCGTAGGAGAGGTGCTCCAGCCTGCTGATCATCTTTGTGGCCCTCCTCTGGACTTGCTCCAACATGGCCTTCTTATGTTGGGGCCCCAGAGCTGGACGCAGCACTGCAGGTGGGGTCTCACCAGAGCGGAGTAGATGGGCAGAATCCCCTCCCTCGACCTGCTGGTCATGTTTCTTCTGATGCAGCCCAGGATACAGTTGGCCTTCTGGGTCCTAAGCTCCCCACCCACCAGTCCCCCCAGGTCCTTTTCCTCAGGGCTGCTCTCAATCCATTCTCTGCCCAGCCTGTATTTGTGCGTGGGATTGCCCTGACCCACATGCAGGACGTTGCACTTGGCCGTGTTGAACTTCATAAGGTTCACACAGGCCCA